AAAATAAAAAAAATAAAAATGATTGCTGGTTTAATCTTGAAATCTATTTTTTAAAACCCCAAACATTAAGATTGTAACATTTTTACTTTAATTTTGTGGTTTTTGAGGTACGGATTCCACCTTGTTTTTTAGAAAACTTTATCTTCATCTTCCTCATCACTCCACATGATTTCCACATCTGAGATATTTCCATCTGCTTAATGCTCAAGAACGTCAAGATCTGTTTATTCTGCATATGAAGGTGTTTCAGCAATAAATGAATACATCAATATCATTTTTTTATATATATAAAAAAGTTTAATCAGCAATACTGGAGATTTAAGTCCAGTAACAGATCTGAAACCAATTGTCCATCCTAAAGGACAGACATATTTGAAAAAATCCTGATCTAAAGCTTACAATGTTACAAAAGATTTTAAACTTTAGTTAGTAAGTGCAATACCTCTTTTTTATTATAATTTTTTTACATACAATCTATAAAATATTGGCAAACATATCAATAAATCTGAATAAAAACATTGTAAATGTGGCGTACGTCTGTGTATGGAGTGAAGTGACGCCATTCTGCTCTTCAGTAAAGTGTATTTATCAAATTACAATATCCCGAGTCTTATCGCCATCATCCACTCTCATGGACTGCAAGCTTTAAATTAGATGAAATGCTCAGGAACCATAAAAAATAGGCTGACCTGATGTCCATTGTAATGGACACATGGTCTGAAGGGGTTAAAATGTGCAATATTTACAGTAGGAGGATTACAAAACATCTTTATGGAGCACAATCTTTTTGGCCATTAAAGCATAGCCGGTAGTTGTGACCCATGCAATGCCTTTTTGGGTACTGTACCCAAAGTATGTACTGTAAGGCTGATTTTGTGGCTCAGGGGTCACATATAAAAGTAAACTCTTGTATCTCCACACAATGCAAAGCACAAAATGTAGTTGCAAAAACAAACTAACACAGATGAGAGTAAGCAGAGAAACATGTAGTGTGCTCGGGAAAATGTGGCAGTCGTTTTGCCACTAAAACGCAACATCGGTTTGCGGTCTATGCTTGAGTGTGAGTTACACGCTCCGATAAGACAACCAGGCAGTCCTCGTACCTCGGAGATAGGCAGATCCTAATCTCTAAATGGATTGTGGGTAAGTGAATTACTTTAGCTTCCACAGAGAGCGTGGCAAACTGAGTGAATAATGAACCACCCAGAAATCCTTGACGGGATTTAACACCTCCAAGCATCCTGTCGCACTTTTGGGAAGCGCCCTTGAAAAGGAGGCCATGCAATGCACACTCTGAAAGCATCTGTTTGGTGACGTTTGTGACTCCAACATAGAGGAAACAGGATGTCTGTGTGCGCTGGGTGGGTAGTAATCCACTTGGGTCTGCATGGTGTCGAGAGGTCAAATTGCTCTGTTTTAGACATTCCAGTGGGCACTATATTGCTTCCACTTCTGTGCGTGTATGCTACCCTGAAGGCCATGAGAAACAGCCTGACCACTAAGGCAGGTGGAAGGATTGACCGAGAAAGAGCTCAGCGCCAATTACTTGGTGACAACTGGCCAGGATTAGGCCTTGTTGTGTATGGTGACCGCTGACCTTTGAGTCCTAGCCTGGCGATGAAAACTTTTAACCTGCACTGACAAAGACAAGAGGGGCGGCTGCTCTTTAAAGAGCTCGCTGACCTGATTAAGCTGGGAAATAGGACGGCTTGCTTGAAAACCCAAATGCTGGGTTTCCATCTACATATTTTATGCACATTTTATGGAGATATTACATAAGGAAAAAAGGTGCATAAAAATTGCATACACTTACTCAAGGTGGATGTTTGTTTGTTATGCAAGAAGACGTGCATAAATTATAATAAAACATTTTTTCAAATCAATAATTGAAGTTTAAAGGAATAGCTCAGACAGAAATAAACATGAAAATGTCTGTTTCTCTTCCTCAAGTGGCTTCAAACCTTTATTAGTTTCTTTATTCTGTTAAATAATGATGTAATAATGAACTTCCATAGTAAGAAAAACAAATAGTCAATGGTTACAGGTTTTCAGCGTTCTTCAAAATATCTTATTTCTGTTCAACAGGTTTGGAACAGCTTTAAGGAAATGCATTTTGAGCATTAACATTTAATGTAGATGTGGCTATGGCCCAATCCCAATTCTATTTTTGTACCCCCCTACCCCGTCCCCTTCAGGGACAGGCTTCAAATTTTGCCCCTAAGAAATGGGAAACTACTAAAACACCCGCACACGACCTCATATGTCATTGCGAGCTCTTATGAGATTGAGGACGGCGACTGCTGTAGTTATTCCAGTTGAGTTTTTTTTTGGTATTTATCTTCAGGAAATCACTGAAGGCAATGATATCATGTCATCATAACAATATAATGTGGCAATAATGTTGTAACTGTACTTTGCATTTACACTGTGACCATTTTCATCTATGTAAACACACCATAAACAACATTAACATTATACCAGACACATTTTCAAAGCTGATTCCAAGCCAATAGACCTTTGTGACAAGTTATTTGAGTGTCATCGAGTGACAGATGTGAAAATATGTTGTGGTACTACTATTATACCAGTCAACATTGGGATGCGAAAATAAGGGATATGCCCATCATAATAAGAGATCCCCCCCAACCCCCTTTTTAAAAAACTCTCAAATGACTAAATATGTTAATTTGGAGCTGTTTCTTTGGAAATAAACAGTTAAATGGTCAGTATTGTTTTATTATTAATATTTACAAAAGAACAAATAAATAGTATACATTAGCAGCAAATACATTGGCAAACGGTTCATCATGCATATTCTGATTAACGAGCAACAAATAAATCTCTCATTTATTTAGTTTTTTGTTTGATTACAATTAATAACAGGTGTCACTTTAAAAATACACACATCTAATGTTATAATGAAAGCATTTGATTGCTTTCCTAACTTTTTATGCTCATTTAAAGTGAAATTAGTTGTGTTTGACTAAAACCCCCACCAAGATTGACATCTTTAGATATTATTATTATTAATTATGTGTGTATGTCTGTTTAAACACGCACCCAAAACCCATTTTCACTCCGCTTCAAATCGCGTGTACAGAATTCGTTTGGGAAACTATTCCCAACTAATCCAGTCTATTTATCACTGTGGAGTGCGTCAGCTGACAGTCACGCACCGCTATATGACTGTTTTGAGAATTGCATATGAAGAGAATTGTAATGAAAATGAAAGGGAATCGTCCCATTTTTATATTTATTTCAAAGTGTTTTCCTGCCTAAACAAAGTGAAAGCACAGAACACTTACATTTAAGAGCAAGGGGCGGCCCCTGGTGGTTTAGGGAGGCTCGGCTCTTTAATGTTTATTTGCCACCCTTCTGAGAAAGACTTAAAATACGGGAGAAATACAGTAACATACCTTTACGGGATGATAGCAGGATAGAACTGTAAAATACGGGAGAATCCCGGGAAAAACAGGAGGGTTGACAGGTATGACTACTATACAGTTATTAATATGTATTATGAATAGCTAAATTTAGCATTGTTTCAATCTTATTTTTTAATCATGACGGCAAATCATGAACGTCGTTTTAACTGTATTAAACTAGAAGCTTTTTGTTGTAAAAATTCGTAATAATGACAAAAATAGTAATTTGTGCATCTTCTGACTTCCATGTGCAGCCATGCTGCCGTTGTAGCTGCTGTATTTTGGGAAATTTTCTTACTCCTTCGTTTCGAGTGTGGTTTTGAAAAATATGAGTTTGAAGGGCTCTCTAGCCTTTCCCCTTAGCCCTACGCCTTCAAGCTAAAGATAATTATACACACAGCTACTCTCACATGAGAGGAACGGCTAAGGGGTAGAATTGGGATTGGGCTAATACATAAACTTACATTTATATCTTTGATAGACGCAACCAAAAGCAAATTATATTGCATCAAAATGCACATGTACTGTACATTTGATCAGTTCTTAAACCTATGACCAGTGCTTAATTTGAGCCACATCTTGCCTTATCCTGTTCCGGAAAATGTCAGATATTCGTGTTTTGTGTTCCAGGATTTATTTTAATGGATCCGGCATGAACTTGTGCGTGGTGAATACCTATGTGCACGCATGTATGTGTGTGTGAATGTGTGGGAGAAAGAGAAAATGAGCACAAAGGCTGTGTGGATGATGGCCCTCAACAATCTTTTCTGCCGATCATCTTTCTTATGTTTACAATCACTTTCATTGGGTGGTGGTTATTGTTTCATGTAGAATGAGCTGCGAAAATAAATAATAGCATAGTGGCCTAAATAATATTTGTATTTTCAAAAAGGCAAAGATGCAGTCTAATATCTAAATCTAATAATAAGCCTGATCAAAAGAGATGTTGAGATGATGAAACTGTGCGAATGGATGAGGATGGTAAGCAAAGCGATCTCAAGTCAGCCAGAAAACATGACAGAAAAGGTAACTGTGGGCTCTTGAATATTAGACAGATTGAATCCTTTAATTATTATTATTTTTTTTACTTGGCACATAATAGTGAAATGAACTGAATAGAGATTGTACGTTTTATGTTTGTAGCTACATGATTTTAACCATGACTGACCTATAATGTTAAATATGGCACAAAAAATTCAAATGTGATGTTCTTTTTTGAGCTATCACCGTTATCATCATGTTCCGGGAAAACTGAAATGGTTTGATGGACGCTGGTCACGGTAACTTTTATTTCCTGGTTTTGTTCCCGGAATTATTCATTTACAAATTAAGCACTCCCTATGACCATACGCTACCCACTTACTTATTTGTTTGAGACAAAAAGGAAGATTTACATAAAAGGGATTTATATCATTTGATGATTTACATCATGCCTATTTAGGATGTGGTGCAATACTGCTAGACTGTCCACCATGCAAAATCAAAGCCTTAGAAATCACTGCTAATTAAAGATTAGATAGTGGGATTTGCATGGAAATGAAGAATAATCATTTGTAGAAGATACAATTGGCTTACCTTATCAGAGTAGACGAAGAAAAGAATGAGCAAAATCAGCTCAGCCAGCAGAATAATCAGCAAGACAATGAAGAACTGTAAAAAGAAAATACACAAAGAAAGGAAGTGAGCGATACGATTGAGAAAAAAAAAGAAAAACAGGGAAAGACCTGTCTGAATGAATCATCTCAGCTTTCCACACTCGCTCTCTCCCTCTCATTCTGTTTCACTTCTTCAGCTAAATATTTACACAGCCTTCCACACAGCATGCGCCTGTCAGCCAGTAAACATTATTTCGCTGAGTGCTCGATACATTTTCCAGTCATCTCCTGATGACCGCTCCTGTCAAATCCCATCTGAGACGCAGATTCGGGCCATCTGAAAAACTTTAAGACACTTGTTTATTGAACCTCCACATTGACAGGTTCGCAAAACAAGTTCCCTTCCGCCATTAAAGGAAGGCGAGAATGATTGTGTTGTCTACGTGTGGCCTCGCCAAGCGCTGAATGACAATGTGTGTATATGTCTGCTCTGCCATGACTTTACTCACTGCTCTGGGCCATATGGGATACGTAAATTGGGGCAAAGTTGAAGGAATGGATGTGAAGACTGCAAAAGCTTTGATGGTTCTTCCTTCCTAGACCTCTCAGGGAAGAAAGTGCTACGCCACATCCAGAAACACAGGCCTGACTGCTTAGATCTCAAATCCAGTGACGTGAAAACTCCTCTCTGATGTCTCACTCTCCCTCAGACTTTGGGACAACGCGTATATACAGCGCAGATAGTGAAATCTAAAGGTCAAGCAATTCAAATTTACTCCATCCCATCTAACAGGCATTTAGAGAACCGTATGAACCGAAGACTGGCATTAAAAAGTAATGATACAGGGGTATGGTGATGATGATTCCAGGTTTGACTGGATTATGAATTCTCCAAACGTCACTTCATATACTTGAACTGAACTAAATGTGACTTGTGTTAATTGTACTAAATAAATTGAACAAAATGATGCTTGTTTGGAATCCTATGTCAAGCCCACAAGTGCATATGCCAGAACAAAGCAGAATGACATTGAGGCAGATGTATTATTCACTCTTGTAAATGGCAGAAAAGCACAGCGAGCGACAACCTTTTTCAATTAGACTGTGTCTAACACCATTAGCCGAATGATTGGTGGTGGTGGTGGAGGGAGGGATTGAGAATGAGGGGGAAATCAAAGAGAAAGAACAGTCAAAAAGGGGGGAAAATTATAAAAGCATGTGGTTTAACTCTTGTATTGAAACCAAAACCCCTGAGTCCAATGAGGAGACCTATTTTGCAATGCTGATAATTAGCAAAGCTCTCTGGTCACAGTTTACTTTAAGCCTGTATGTATAATGCATTAAAAAAGTTATTCATAAGGCATAATTCAGTCCATCCTGACGGGGCTTATTTTGAGATGGACTCGCCGGCTGTACATTATCCCACTTCTTACACATCTGCTCACTGTATAAATAAAGGACATGAAATGTTGATTCTAAAGGCAAAAATAATTGATTTATGCGAGGAGATGAATAAAAAGGATGTAAAATGAGCACAATGATGTAGGAAAACTCGTAGTCACAAAAAGTGACTGTGAAAATGGTTGATTATACAATTTAGCACCATACTTTTTTCAATAAGGAGAGTACTGTGATGATGATGACTGCTTTTATTATATACGGCTGTCATTGTGTTATTTTATTCACACAAACATACAACTGAACGCAAGATGTTTAATAGGCCATAATTTGCTTTTTATCAAGACACAACTTTCAGGTGTAGTAAGAATGAGTCTGTAAAGTTTCAAATCCTAATAGATTATTTATTAAACAAAGCAGTAAATATGTTTTTTTTTGTTGAATAATAATAATAATAATAATAATAATAATAATGTTATTAAATGATAATAATAATAATAATAATAATGTGATTCAAAAATAATAACAATAATAATAATAATAATAATAATAATAATAATAATAATCATAATCATAATCATAATCATAATCATAATCATAATAATAAATTATATTAATAATAATGATAATGATAATGGTAATAATAATAATAATAATAATAATAATAATAATAATAATAATAATAATAATAATAATAATAATAATACTTATAATAATAATATATTTTTTTTTAATGTGCAAGTCTCTTTACAAACAAATGAGTTACTGCTAGAAGAGTCTTTACAGCTCTTGTTTCAGTAGCTCCATTAAAAAACAAAAACTGTAAATTTAAATTGCTGACATATGGATTTCTCAGTGGAAATACACATAGTGCACAAACAGAAACTTCAGGTGACATTCAACCAAGTTTTCTTTTGCCTAAACTGTCAAATACAAACAAAACAAAAATCCACACATTGTTAGTTATGTTTGGTAATAGTTGGGTCTCCATCACCCTGTGTTAATGTACATTCTGAACTGTCGCATGAGAAATGAGTAATGCAAACAAATTGTTCAATGAAAACCCGTTAATTTGTAAAAAAAAAAAAGAAAAAAAAAAGAAGATGTTTTTACATTCGCTTAAAGTGGTTTTGGACTTGTGTGAAAAGGGGTTTGTGAAATTGAAATAGAAAAGAATTACCTAAATCAGTGGTCCCCAACCCCTGGGCCATGGACTGGTAATGGTCCGTAGATCAATTATTAATTATTTCAGTTTTATTCATTATCTGAGACTGAACGATCGATTATTTTGAAAAATGTTTGATTTAAAAAAAAATTACCGTATTCTCTCAGTTACATCTCTGTCACGTAAGCGTTAAAATTTAACCAATAAGCTAGCAAAATGAATAAGAAACAGAGATCTTTGGAAAGTTTCTTTGCAAAGGGAAAAAGGCCCAGTGAAGGACCAACAAATGGCCAAGAAACAGATCTGCAACCCATTTGTCAAGAAATCAGGTGAATTTAACATATTTCATTCATTCATTTATTTTCTTGTCGGCTTAGTCCCTTTATTAATCTGGGGTCACCACAACGGAATGAACCGCCAACTTATCCAGCAAGTTTTTACGCAGCGGATGCCCTTCCAGCCGCAACCCATCTCTGGGTAACATCCACACACACATTCACACACACACTCATACACTACGGACAATTTAGCCAACCCAATTCACTTGTACCTCATGTCTTTGGACTGTGGGGGAAACCGGAGCACCCAGAGGAAACCCACGCGAACGCAGGGAGAACATGCAAACTCCACACAGAAACGCCAACTGAGCCGAAGTTCGAACCAGCGACCTTCTTGTTGTGAGGCGACAAATTTAACATATCTAAGCAAGAAAAGATCAACTGCTGGAGATCGCAAATGACGGCAGGGGCCGTTCACAAACTGTATCGCGTCTTTTCTGCACACAAGTTCGTTATTTCCTATGGGTGCACCCACTTGAAAACCTCAAAACCTTTTAGAATGCCACAAGCGCAACGCGAGTCATGTGATGAGAACTGAATGATCAGCTTTATACTTTGTATGGAATATACACATTTTAATAAACTAATTATCTTAGACAAACACAGAACACACAGTGCTTTTTAATTTTCTTCATAAATAAAGCTTGTATCAGAGTTGCATCAAAGTTTCTCAGCTTGTCGTCCTCTGAGAAAATGGTTGAAGGTCGCCTATCAATCTACGTATTGTACTCACTCCCCCCTCCACCGAGCCGCAGAAAAATGGTCAACTGTTGACCGGTCCGTGGTGATTAAAATGTTGAAGACCACTGACCTAAATAAACTATAATATAGCAAACATTACATCCATGTGACTACTCAGCTGTTTCCATTATGCTTGCCTTGCTTAATGTCGATGACCAATACTACGGTCAGCTGCTATGACAGTTTGATAGAAATGCACCTAATTCACATTTGGATGTTTCTTTGTCTTTTGTTTGTTTTGTCTTGCAAACTTTGAAAAAAAAATCAGTATATATCAGTAAATATTAGACCTCTGAAACTAGATCTACTAAGGAAACTCAACTAGTCCTCACCCCATTAAGTCAAAATTATAAACCTTTTAAATATTGTGATGTGACCTTTCATGCATAAACAGAGGCTAAAGGACCAGTAAAAAGCACATGACCCCTTCAACTATAGTTTGACTATTTGTATGCTGCTATATACAGTTTCATTCAGTTCTATTAGTTTGTCTTCACACTTCAGGAATGTAAACGTGTGTAGGAGTGGCAAAACTTACGCTCAGAAGCAGGCACTTGTTTTCCTTGATGGCGCCCAGGCAACCGAGGAAGCCCGTCACCATGACGATGGCGCCTATGGCGATGACCATGTTGGCAGCGGAGAGAGAGGGGAAGGAGGGGGAGAAGGTGGCGAAGCTGCCTTGAGAAACAGACAGCCAGATTCCAACTCCCAGCAGCCCACAGCCACACAACTGCAGACAGAAAGAACAGATTATCAGATACTGATGCGTTCTGGAACATCTGTACAACTACATTCAATATGTGCCACAGATACCAGATGGACAATAACCCAACAAATGTACTGACACTACTTTACCCAAGTACAATTTTTGAGTATCTATACTTTATCCGAGTATTTTTAGGAAACATTTACTTCACTACAATTCATAACAAATTGTTGTACTTTTGAACTTCACTACATTTTTTAAAGTATTTTATTTATCAACCAGTAAAATGGTCAGGAGGAGCAGAATCTTTTCAGTTAATCTGCTGAATCAGTTCACATTCCAGAATGAATGTTTTAATTTGTGAATTGAACATATCTGATGCAACTGTTCAGGAGTCAATAACTCACTGATTCAAATGAGTCACTCCTAGCGAGCCAATTACTTATGATTCAAATGATCCAGATAGAGCAAAGTCTCCGGTTAAGGAATTACTGATTCAAATGAGCCGCTCATAGTGAGCCAATTACTTATGATTCAAATGATTCACATAGAGCAAGGTATCCAGTTAATGATTCACTGATTCAAATGAGCCACTCATATTGAGTCTATTACTTACTGATTCAATTGAGCCACACAGAGCAAAATCTCCAGTTAGCGACTCATTGATTCAAATGAGCCACTCATAGTGAGTCAATTATTACTTATTGATTCAAATGAACCACTTGGAGCAAAGTCTCCAGTTAACGACTCACTGATTCAAATGAGCCACACATTCATTCATTCATTTATTTTCTTTTTGGATTAGTCCCTTTATTAATCTGGGGTCGCCACAGAGGAATGAACTGCCAACTTATCCAGCATATGCTTTACCCAGCGGATACCCTTCTAGCTGCAACCCATCACTGGGGAACATCCATACACACTCATTCACACACATACACCACAGATAATTTGGCTTACCCATTTCACCTATAGCACATGTCTTTAGACTTGTGGGGGAAAACAGAGCACCTGGAGGAGATCCAAGCGAACACAGCAAGAACATGCAAACTCAGACAGAAATCCCAGTTGACCCAGCCAAGGCTCAAACCAGAAACCTTCTTGCTTTGAGGCCATTGTGCTACCCACTGTGATACAGTGAAGACCATGTGCCACTCATTGCAATTCAAATGATCCACACAAAGCAAAGTCTCAAGTTAACAACTCACTGATTCAATTGAGCCACACAGAACAAAGTCTCCAGTTAACAACTCACTGATTCAAATGAGCCACTCATAGTAAGCCTATTACTTACTGATTCAAACGATCCACATAGAGCAAGGTCTGCGGTTAACGACTCACTGATTCAAGTGATTCACTCAGAGTGAGTCCACAGTTAGGGATTCACTGATTTTTAAACTGATTTAACAAAATGTAAGTTGCTAATGCTGAACTTAAGGATTTGTTATGGTAAGTGAAAATAATATATTGAGGCCATGAGTGTAAAGTAAATCTACTGTAAAAGGTCAATCTGTTTAAACCCACTATGTAAAATGCTTGAATGTGGAAATGTCTATACTGCATTTGTATATTACCAATTGAATTTAACAACTAAAGAATATTAAAATGACACAAATAATGCCTGTGTATTTGCTCCACTACTTTAGGACATAATAGATATAAAAATAGTATGTTTGGAGTTTTCTTAAAATATAGCGTACAGATTTTAAAATATATTTCATATCTACATTTGACAGAGTACATTTACAAACAATGTTTGTACACTGGAATCAATTATCAGTATAGCTATCAGTGCATGACAAGTTTTATTAACACATAAATATAATATAATCTTGTTTTCTTGCAAGATAGTTAATGCATTATCAATAATTATTACTTAAGTATAAAAGTTGTTACTTAAATTACATTAAATAGGAGTATTTATGTTGGGAAAAAAAAGTATTATTTTTGTCTCGTTTTTTATTGAACCATTCTATTTGTATTGCTTAAAGGTGATATATTAACTTTTTCTCTTGAGTGTGATATGCTGGGTTGTTTTAGATCTGCAGCTAAACTTCCTGTGAGCAGAGATGGGTTAAAAAATGAACAAAAAGTGCAGTTGTGAAGTCTTTTAATGTTGTGCAGAGAATTCGTAAAAAAAGAGGATGTATGTATGGGTGCGGCCAATGGAGGACTGGAGAACGATTGACAAGTGACAAGTTCCACTAAACTCCTCCTAATAATATCAGCTGCGTATAAAAGCTCTAGTCAGAAAATTTAAATTGTTGCATAGCTCCTGAATGCAATTTTTGCATTGCATTGAGGATACCAGAATTCTGTGAATCAAATTATTTATTTGTATCCAATAAATTACTAAGATTTTTGACATTAAAGAAAACCCTCTCCTGACCTTTTTATTAAACACGCATGGAATTGTTTAAATGTTTCAACACTTAATGTTGATTTGCCCATAGACAAATATTACTAGAAATGTAGCATTGCTATCCTGAGCTCAAATTAAGTTTGGAGCATCATTTAAGCTGAATAGCAAAAAATGTAATACAACAGCAGATTATTGCAGTGCATGCTGAAACTTCAACAAGCAATAATTTGCCATGCCTACAGGCTCCCCCAGGGGGCACACACCACCTGCAAACTTTGCCCCCTGTGGGCCACACCATCATCTTGATAAAACAAGGCTGTCCATTGACATTTACGTACACCCACAAGAGTCCAGCTGTGAATATGTAATGTTTACAGGAGCTTCTGATTGACAACGCTTAGAGGAGAGCCTGTTTTCCCCATCAATCTGTGATAAGGCCACAAAGTGATGCCCGCAGAGATGACGAGGACGGAGAGGCTGACATTTCCTCCGCTCTTATTGAAATATCCAAAGCAATCTCCTTGTGAATAAGAAATCACACCCACCACTGATAAACAGACAGACGCCGCACAGCGAATCAAAAAGCTTCATAAGTGTGAACGCCGTTGTCGCTGAAACGCTAACATGTTCATCGGAGATGAAAGGGAACCAGACTGATCTTTTTTTTTTTTTCAGATGATGTAAATAATTGATCGCTTTTACATATGCTTTCATTTGCTTTCAAGCACAGACAAGACAAGTTAACTGAAGTGCTCGACAATGCCTTCGAGATCTAAACTCGAGGGTTGCAAGGGATTTGAGGAAGAAATCAAATAAAATGAATTTTGTCAATCTTGGTGGTCTCATATTAGTTCAGAGGATCAACTTTTACGTTAAAAAAATCATAAAAATGTAATGTATATATTTTAAAGTCACTGTGTACGTCTATTTAACGTTATCCTATCAGGATTATTTCATCAGTGGTAAATAAGTAAATGAATAAATAAATAAATGAATAAATGAATAAATGAAAAAATAAATAAATAAATAAATGAATAAATAAATAAATAAATAAATAAATAAATAAGTGGATTGATTCAATAAGTCATTGTCCTCTGCTATAATCTACATGGCGGTTATACTTCAAAATGTACATGCAAAATAATCATTAAAAATATTTTAACAAATTTAGTAGATGCTTGGTAAAAAAGAAAAAAAAAATGTATTTGCTTTTTTTTGACAAGACAAGTTAACTGAAGTGCCCGACAATGCCTTCGAGATCGAAACTTGAGGGTTGCAAGGGATTTGGGGAAGAAATCAAATAAAATGAATTCTGTCAATCTTGGTGGTCTCATATTAGTTCAGAGGAACAACTTTTACTTTAAAAAAGTCATAAACATTTTTAAAGAGTTAAAATTTAACTTTAAAATTTTAAAATTAAAGAGCCCCTATTATGGTTTTTTGAAAATGAACTTCTCTGCAGTGTGTAGCACAGCACTAACTGAATGAAAACATCCAGCTGAGGTTTAAATCTGAAGTGCACTGTGATTAAAACTATTGATTCTTTAACAAAATAGTCGACTCAGAGTCGAACAAATGAATCGTGTTAGGTTCGGATCTTTTGCTTGAACATGTCAACGTTGATATGGTACATCACCATGGTTCTGGTAAAACGTGAACGTGTCTATCCCTTCAGACACTAGCAGAGTGCGGGGGATCACAAGACTGATCAAGCTGATGATCACTGACAGATGGAGACTCAGCTGCTGGGAATAAAGGCTTAAAGTTCATTTTGACAACATTACCACAGTATAGACAACCTAGTGCTGTGTTTGTTCCTGTCATTTTTCTGATTTTTGATACAGTAACCTACGCTGCAATGCAGGATTCGCCAGCCATTTGATATTAAAGGAAGAAGCAGCAGAGACTATTAGTATGGGAATTTGTTAGACTTTGACAAGGACTTTGTCAGTAACTGTTACTATTCATATGGTCCAGTTTCTTCTTCTGAACTCGCGATTCTCTGTTATTTGACTTTGCTATGGCCACCATCAGCTGTTGCTTACATTTTCACAATTTTCAAAATAGCTCAACTTTTGCCACTGTCTGAATAATACAGAATGTGTCTTGTTGTTATTACTTGGGGTTAGGTTTAAGAGAAGAGCAATATGCTAGTGTTTAACTGCATTGCTTTATTGCATTCCTGCATTGATATCTTGCATACTCTGCATGCTACTTCATAGCCGTGGTGGGCGTTTCTCTCTGTTTTGCACTGAACCCAGTCAGCCAATCATAACAGACTGGGTCATCACATCAATCAGCTCAGATTAGCTTCGCGCTTAAGGTGGGGTTTGGGAACAAATGAATCTCTAAACTAATTATATGGGAGTCATTGGGATAATTAGCTAAAAATAAATGCATATTATAAGACAATGAAAGTGTTTTTTGACCTTGCATGCATATCAGCCTGTTGTTGGAGACCCCCCCAAACCAAAATATGACCTTATAATGCAAAAAAGGGGCTCTTAAAGTGGCGCATATGTTTCTCTTAGCTAGAAGAAGAAAGAGAGCTAGTGAGTAAATTACAGTAAGAGCTAAGTGATATGACACAGTGCATAAATGTGCATTAAACCCTTATACTCGGCATACACTTTCATTTGCTTTCAAGCATAGACTAGAATGT